GCCGTACACAGCCTAATCAATGGAAAGTTGCCTTATTTTCCATATGAACTATTTCTGTAGATTTAAAGTTTGGGCTGCTCCAACAAAAAAGCATGCTTGGTGTATATCAGACAGCTTAGCCACTTGTTAAGTAGAAGTTGCCTAGTTCTGCTAAATGCTGGTGATATGATGTAGACAGAGCATATGGTTTGGGCAAACCTTGTGGTGGTTTCTTTCTGGTGGGAAGTCATTGTTCATAGAATTGACATTTTTGAAAAAAATATGGGAGATGTGTAGATGCTCATGCACTTCAAAATTATATACCCTTGATGTGGGCAAAAGTAACAAAGCACATCTCCAGTCACAAAACGCCTGCTACTTCAAACTTGTAAAGATAAAACACCCACTGCCAAGCTTTCAGTGATCTGAAGAGCTTGCAATCCTTGCTGCATCAGAATGTAGAGTCCACAGTCCATTTCATCTGAATGCGTTCTAAGCATAAGGATTGCTTGTATTAATGTATACACTAGAAACAGACGTGTTGCTTTTTACTTCTTTCTAATGGTGTTGCAAATATATAAACCAGTTTATATCCTTGAATGAAATGTCTTTGCTTGCTGTCAGGGAGGACAACTTAGTCTCTTTTGGTCAAGGGTTTGAGGGCCAGGGAGAAGCTACAGGTATCCCCACCAATTATACTTCTGATGGCAGCAGTTTGGAAAGAAGGCTCGTCCCTAATTAAACTTAACTGTGGTTTCCTTTATGGAATTGAGCCATCTCACATTTAGAACAAAACCATATGAAATGAACAAGAAAAAAGGCAATTTTCTTACAGCCAGGGGTGGGCATATGGGGTGGAATATTTCTGCCATAATAAATGTGTTAGTTTTTTAGATGCCACAAGATTCTTCGTTGCTTTCAGTGTTCAAACTTACTTCAGGTTTTCTAGTGTAAAAGGCCTTCTGACTACATAGAAAAAATTACAGACTTATTATTATTATTGGTGATTTAATTTCTATATCACCCTTAACCAAAGTTTTGTCGATTTAACTGTTGATTCCTCTGATCTGGTAGTATAAAGTCTCTCACACCCCCATCCAAACTGCAAAAGCAGGTTCAGCTTCTGGTGCCATCCAATGGCCAACTGTTGAAACAGTAGCTATTTTAACCCTATTTATACATTATAACTGTTGCAATTTCTTCTTTCAGCCAATAACTTTCTAAATAAATACATAATAACTAAACTACCACATATCTCCTACCCTTTCCTCTAAAAAAAATGACAACAAAAATTCTTCTTTGAACTTTCTGCTATTCAATATGCATATACATATAGGACCTTGGACTTTTTCCCATCTTCTACACTTTTACTTAGATTACAGGAGAGTGATATTAGGGACCCTGTCCATCATCTCAGGGGCTGCAGGATATTTTGGATTCCAAAATCCTCTGCAGGAAACACAGCTGGGAATGCAGGCACCTTTCCCATTCCCCCTTGCAGAAAGAACTCGCTCGCTAGTGGGGAAGCAGTTCAGCAATCTTCAACCCTGAATGCTCAAAAACAGAATTTAAGATCAGTTCCCGCCCCCCCCCCCCCCCCGCTTTTGTAACTTAGTGTATTTCATAGAGCTAGAGACGGGATGGGTGGAGCTCCGAGGTAATCACTTCGCGTAACGAAAATTCCTCATTTTTTCCCCTTCGAAGTCGAAAACCGCTGCCCAGCTGAGGGATGCCTTTACAAGAGCTGAGCTTTGCAAGGCCGGGACACTGGGGAAGGCATTCCTGCATGGGGTCGGCAGATTCGGAGACGACTTGTCAGCACGTGACCACAACAACGTGGGGAGGGGCTGGTTTGAACACGCTTTCCAAAGCACTGCATTTCCGATCAGAGGCTGCGTTCACACCGTTTCCGCTCTACTCGGCATTACTTGCGCGTGCTCTTTCTCCATCACGTGGCTAAAAAGAAAAGAAACCGAAAAAGAGCCCAGGCTGATGCTATAAGAAGAGCCGCCCCCGGCGCGCATCCAGCTCTGCTATCTTCCACGGGAGCGGAGGCGCCGATTCTTATCACATGCGGCCAGGCCCGTGATCACATGACAAGAAACTGAAGCAAGGAGGCTTTGGATTATTTCCTGCTCAATGGCGAAACTCTTCCTGTTTTGGAGACGACTCGACTCCGCTCGTCTCAGCTGCGCGGAAACGAATTGCATCTAGGCAAGCACTTAAAACTTCTACATCCCTGCTTACCTGATTGGAGCTCGTGGGGTGGGGGAGGCTTGATTTGAATTAGGGTGTTTTTTTAAATATGTTTTAAATATTTGAACACCGCCTTCTTCCCACTTACCTGAGCGGTGTCGGGAGCAGCCGCTGGTTCCCTTGTGCTGCGAAGCCGTTAGCTCTGCTCCCCCTGCTAAAAAATTTCGGAACGGAGCCGTGATTTGCGTGGTGGGGCCCTGGGCTAGTTCTGAAAACTAATTTGTCCCATTCTCTCGTTTCCGAAGGAAGGTAAGACATCCCGCTTGGGCGCAGATATCGGCAGTCATCAAGCGCTTGCATTTAACAAAACCGTTCGAAGGAGCGGCAATCCGCTCTCTGAGGGCTTACTCAAGAGCAGCCCCACTCGGTTCCGCGTGCTTTACCTTAGAAATCGTAGACGTGTCTAACTGCGAAAGAAGCCACACTGGGTTAAGTGGGATTTAGTCTCTCGAAATTAAAATAGGATTGCGGTCCTGCTCGCAAGAACTTCTGAGTTGGATTATGCAAGCAGAACTTTCTGAGAAACCAAACTGAGGGAGTTATCTGGAGTAAAAAAAAATCAAGCGTAAGACTGCTCTAAGTCTGTAGCAGTTTTAATAATTGTAGTTTTAATATTGTATTTTAAAATTTTATATTATGTAAGCCGTCCTGAGCGCTTCTGCGGAAGGACGGGAAATACATGCTTGTGATAAATAAATGAATAGCCCCGAAACCGTTTATGCTGCTAGAGCTTCTCTTTCAAGAGAGAGTTAAGAAAAAGTTTTTGTGAATGTAGAGTTTATTTCCTATTCTACTTGGCAGCCAAGATGGCCCTACATTAGATCTAGATCAAGGTTTCTGTTCTAAACGGATTTACTTGAGAATAAGCCCCACTGCCCCTTGTGGGGCTTGCTTATTTTGCAATGGCATATGAAAGGTTGACCTGTGAGCTGGTTGCATTCAAGTACTACTGGAACCAATGGGAATTAAGTCATGCCAAACTTAGCACTTCGGCTTCGGTGGAACTTCTTTCCAACTACCTAGGTTGCAACTCTAAACACTGAACTGGGGAAAAGTCCCATTGGACTCTCTAAAGCCTACTCTTATCAGCCCTACAGCCCTGTGTGTTTACAGCTCTTATCGGTACTGAGTGAAGAAAGTTTAGAAAAACATATTTGGAAAGTAATGGTTGCCCTACTCTGAGTAGCACTTCTTTTAAAAATTAACTGTGTGCCTCTTCATACATTTTGTTGCAAGCATTTGAGTACAAAAAGTAATGTTTCTCAAACTTTTTATTGGATTTTCCTTCTAAACCAAGAGTCTTCAGCATTTAGCTTTAACATGCATTTGGGGGACTCCTTTCTTTCTTGGTTATCATTGTTAAAGGAGTGTCCCTTTAATTAAGGTGAGTTGCAACAGTTCAAAATTCTACTGTTGATAAAAATGAGACCGGTTGAGCATCACTAATCTTTATAAATTGTGCTAAATTGAAAACCAATCCAGTAAAAATGTATGCAATTTTTTAAAAAAGACTTATTTTTACTTTTCTCTTCAAGTTGCAGCTCAGTGTACTGTTTCCTTATTTCAAACACTGGTGATGCACATTAACTTGTCAAAGAAGTGATCCCATTCTGTTTTTAGCTTCTTTTTAAAAAGTAATTTCTTAAAGCCTTTCTTACATTTTTAGTTCACTGTCTCCTGATATGATGAACTTTTAGAATTGTTTTAAAGCTGTTGTTCATTTGTTTAAGGCTGTTTTAGTATTGGCTACTTACAGAATAAAAATGTACAGCAAGTGAGAAAGACCTTTCATGCAGAGATAGGTCTTTCCCTTCCCTTAACTATACACCAGCCCTCCCCAATCTGACACACTCCAGATGTGCAGAACATTTCCCATGGTTCTCCAGCCAACACAGTGGGAGGCAGCCAGAATGGAGAAAGCTGCTGTAGATTCTGGGAGTGAATTCAGGATGGTCTTTATGCTTTCCTTTCTCATCTGGGAGGTCTTTCACTTCATCTGCTCTCTAATCCCCCCTTTCCCCACTGGAATGCCAGGAAATGACAGGAATTGAATCTGCAAGCTGCAGCCATCAATATGCAAAGCATGTATTCTAGTACTGAGCCGTAGGCCCTCTTGGATTCATTGTCTCCTTTTAACTTCACAGCAGAGGAGAGAAATCTGGAATATCCTCCAAGCAGAGTCAAGAAGCATAGAGGATAGCTGGGAGCCATTTTTAAAAACTTAGGACTTCCTGCTTATGATTTGAAGGTTTGGAGGAGATAGCAGCAAATAGCATTCTGTATTCATTGGGTATTTCATTCTATATCAAAATCACCCCCTCCCCCAGAGCAACAAACCATTCCAAAGTAAAGTCCTTCAAAAGATGCTCAAGATGCCCATACAGGTGGTATCTTAACTGTTCCAGAATGTCAGAGGACATGATATGCTTTAAGGCTGAGAGGATGTCTAGGGAGGGCGAATCTTTTTCCAGTCTGTATGTGCCAACATTTCTGATTCATTTCTTTGTCTTCAGAGGCCAATGGCCTTGAAGGAGAAAGACTCAAGTGTCTTGAAACACAATGTTCTTCAGCTGCTGCTGCAGCACTCCCAGGGAGTCAGCTTTGGGAACTTCACTGGGGCCTTCTACCAGCTGCATGGCTACCACCCGCACATTTCTCTTCATGGTTACCGCTCACTCAAGCACTTGGTGGCTGACATGAAGAACGTGGTTGTGGAAGGTGACTCACACAAAGCAGTCATGAAGATAGCAAATGGCTTCCATCGTGACCATCTCCCTGAAGGAGGACAAATGAATGGACTGGACAACTCTGAAAGGGAAGCTCAGAGCCTGACAGATACAGAGAAAGCCAGCAGTGGTGCAGGTACATTGTCTATTGTTTGAGATTCTGTACCTAAATTTGGCCGGACCCTGCATGAACTGGCGCTGGTGGTGTATTCATGAGTAAATTCAGCACTAAATTGTCTAAAACCATATTCCATGCCTGATATTGCAGGGGATGAAACCGTGGCATCCCTGCTAGGTCCTGTGAATTAGCACCCAGAATTGATCCAATCTGACAAGAAGAAATAGCCAAAGTATTTGATCACTATATGATTTTGCCTGAGCTGAATTGCTGAGAGAAAGAATGGGATCAAGATTGAAACATAAACTCAAAGGATTGCTATAAGCTTTGCCTGGCATAAGAGAGGAAATTTGAGCATGATAAACAGCTGTTGCAAAAGTTCCCTCTCTACATCCTCCTCAAAAGAGGAAGAGCCTTTTCTTCCTTGGAGCTTGTCACCCTTTCATAATAATTGGCCTATCTGAATGTCATCAATTGTACTGTTAACCATAACATAACCAACAGAAATTGCAAGTTACAAAATGCGTAAGTTCTTTGAGTTTATGTGAAAGAGGTGCAACATTGTATAAATAAAAGTGTAAAAACACTTTACAGTGATAACTAGGAGCTCTGAATGAAACCTTGAATCAATATAGGAGGTCAGTGAGAAATAACACTGCTTATTTAGCTAGAAAGAAAGTCATAGTACTAGCATTCTCCAGCCAGCACACTGGGCTACACTGAGAACTCTGGGACACTGACATTTCTCCAGCTAAATATGCATAGGATTGCACAAATGAGTTCAGTGTTACAGAAATCAAAATAAGTAACTTGCTGTTTCCTTCTCATCCTCTGTGCTTTTTCTCTTGTGGGCTCAATAATATATTTGTGTGAGTACTGGGGTAAATTTTTTACCAACTATTGATGCTGTAAATTGCTTTAATATCACTTTTAAAAGGGATGCTGGGTTGGCTGGCACTTAGAGGCTCATGCGTGACTGGGCATGCTTCCCCAGGGACTTCCCGGGAGCTTGCTTTATCTTGCATCAGCTCGCTGCAGCAGAGATGTGGTGGGAAGAGGCTGTGTCGTTTTGAGAGGGAGGACCATAACTGGGGGTAGGCCTCTTTGAAGCTCTCTTTCAGGTCAGAGAATATGGGTGGCCTGCAGGCTTGGCCTCTTGAATGCAGAGTTAGCTAAAGAAGGCCAGGTTGGTGAACGGGAAAATAACAGCCACTCAGGCCTTGAAAACATGGTGTGTGTTTGAGTGTGCATGTGTACATCCCTCCCAGTTTTATCTGCCTGAGTTTTTGCAGGAGATCCTTCTCATGGTCCTTCCAGCATTGGAAAAGCACTTGTTGGGAAAGGGAGGGAGGGGTTTTGGGGAGCCACTCTCAGGCATGGGAACATGCTAAGGGATGCATGGCTGACTCCCTTTCTGCTAGAAGGTACAGGCATTTTTTGGCTCACAGGTTTTTGGTATATGTAAATAGCTCTGCTGCTGCTAGGTTTTCCAAGTGTTAGTTCTCTCTCTCAGATTCCTCCCCCCCCCCAAATTTTTTTAAAATGTTGTATTACATTTCTGTTTTTATTTGAATGTTATTGTTAGCTACCTTGAGTGCCATTTGTGGCAGAAAGGCAGGTAATATAACTAATTAATCCTGCACCACAGGAGGAGAGGAGAAAAGAGGCATAGAACACTAAAAACAGAATGATGTAAAGGTGACAAGGGCTAGACCTTGTGGCCTTTCTAGAGGCTGTTGGGTGTGAGCAACTCCAAATGAGCTTTAAAATGCAGCCTCAGAGGCTAAACAGAAGGCGAATAGCCCAATGTTAAACATGTCATTTTGCTGTAGTGGAAGTGGTCCTGATTGGAGTTGGGACCACTGTGTTTCAGAAGGTTGGATAAAACCTTGTCCCCACACCATTTGTTTTCCAAAATATTCCACTTCCCATCTTGGGGTTCTAGCAGAAGTAGTCTCCTTTGACATCAGGAAGGTTTTCAGGCAACCAGCAGTACGATTGGTGGGGAAGATTTAATCCTTCCAATGTGTGGTGGTCTAGATCTGAGTTGGAGCTACACCTGCTTACACTGGATAGGCAATGTGACTACTGCAACATGTGTAGTATATTTATTAAAAACTTTTGTATGCTGTCCTATTATACAAAAATCTCAGGACAGCTTACAATATTTAAAAGAACAGTTAAAACAATTTCTAATAAATAAATTGAAACAGTACAAAACAAACATAAAACAAACAGCAACTAAGGTTAAAAGTTATTGATTTTAAAATATCGTTTAAATAAAAAGGTTTTGGCCTGGCACCAAAAAGAGTATAAACTTGGCGCCAGGTGTACCTCTCTGGGAAGTACATTCCAGAGTCTGGGCACCACAGCAGAGAAGGCCCTACTCCCAGTTGATGAGCTTTTTACCTCTCTTAGAGAGGGTTCCTGGAGCAGGGCTTCTCCTGGTAGTTTGGCTCAAAATCCCAGCTCTTTCATTCTTGCAGCAGTGCTGAAGAACAGCCTCTGAGCATCACACTCATGGATTTTCTGTCTTCCCCAAGCCACTGTCACCACCAGCTTTCACAACAAGATGTTTCTTGTCTAATTTGGTGAGTGTTTGTCCTTCCCCCATTGATGTCTCTGCAACCTCTACTTCCGGCAGTGGCCGGGACAGTGTGAAAGAACCAGCGATTCAGGCCACAGGTGAAATAAAGAGCTGCTTGGTGTGATGCTGCAAGGGCTAGGGGCAGGTAGAGTAGGCAGGGTTGGCGAGATTGTTAAAAACTCCCATCAGGGGCTGCTTCATGTGTTCTAGAGCAGCCGTCCCCCCAACCAGCAGGTTCCCAGCTAGCAGAGCCATTGGATGCGGTCCAGGACACCTGGGGTTGCCTGGTTGGGAAGACTGTACCGGGTCTACTTGCTCATGGCAAGGAGCTTTGATTCTGCAGTACTCCTGCTGCCTTGGCACCAATCCAAGTGGTCCTTGAACACTATCCTTTTGGTCTGAGGGTGAAGAAGCTACAAGAAGTCTTGAGAGAGAAGCATAAATTTGACTTGAAGACATTCTGCAGCAAACTGGGCTACAAAGACGTGATCTCCATCTTGCGGGACATTCCTGGGCTGTGTCTCCAAGACAGCAGAAAGACCCGGAATTGTGTTGTTCAGCTTCAAACATGTAGGGCAAAATTTGCAGTGCTTCATCTTATGTGGTTTTGGGCTGGGGTGCCAGTTCCACTGTTGGCATGGACCAAGGAGATAATATTTGTTTTCTTGGAGAGGAGATCAAGATGAAGCTTGGCGAAGTTGCTTTGTATAGGGTGAAGCAGCAACAATGTGGGGCTTGGCATGTGGTAGGTTGGGGTTTTGTCAGCCTGGGTTGCATTTCAAGAGCCCCACGTGGTGGTTTGTTTTAGTTGGAGCAAAACTAATTCTATTAATTGTTTAAATGACTATTAATGCACAGCATCCAGATTTGCACATCATGGAGAACACCCAGTGAGTGCAATCAGATGTAGTATATTCAGAATGGTGAGACACATTAAGTACAATAAAAACAATGGTAAAAGTAAGTTGGGCTTGTTCCCATGTAGGTGGGAACTAGAGGGTAATTCCATAAGGTACTGAATAAAGCTTGCCTGTGTGCTGTTATCATCCTAAATATGCAACCTCTGGGTGACTCAGCCTGTGGTTGCTCCATTATGTGAACCTGGACACTGCAAGTTAATTGTGAGTTAACCCAAGGTGAAGGAGTCGTTACATTAACTTCGGTTGTTTAACCCACAACTAACCTACAGTGTCAGGGTTCACATGTTACCAAGCACCCTCCAGTTGTGCTTGTCTGAGGCTGTATAGGGAAAATAGCAACACAAGCTGTTGCAATTGATGAGTTGTCTAACCCACAGTTTGCTGCTTTTACTTGACCATTAACAGAATAGTTTCCAAAGCAGCAATCACAATTAAAGATTATTTAAGACAGATAAATGTCTGAGCAACTAAAACATTGAGAAAGATTATTTTAAAACAGAATGTTAAACATACTAGAAATAAAGCAACTATTACGCATTTAAGACAGGCTTGGGAGAATTAGAAAGTGTTTGCCTGGTGCCAAGAGGTCAGCAAAAGAACTGGTACATGGGCTTCTGTGAGGAGATGCACACTGGGTCCTGTTGGACTTCCTGTTCCAGAGTGGAGGGTGGATAAGCACGAATATACACTTTGTGTAACCCGCAGTCTTATAGGGAGTAGACGCTGCCAGGCGAGTATATATAACAAAAAGATAAGGGATAGATAGTCCTTGAAAGAAGAAAGAAGCCTTCAAACTAGGCAAAAGGAAGATGCAGCAGACGTGTATTAGATGACCAGGTTGTGCCTTACATAGCTATATAATGCGTGTTTTGGGGGACAACTGGTGAGTCTTTGCTTTGGGCACCCCCCATTGTTCTCCACTTTGTTTTTTAGTGCATAAGAGTAAAGCTTGGTCTTTGCTCATAGTCTAATCTCTAGACTCTGGATTGGCATGATTTTGGGGTCCCTCTGGCTGTTACCTGTCACCTGGCTTGTATGGCTTGATCTGGCAACACACTAGCCTGGCAGAGTCTACGCCCTACAGTTAGCAAGACATATTGCAACTTTAGAGTGGCATAAACCAGTTTTTGCTGGTCCTTTGAAGATCTCAAGGTCATGTTAGCTTGCAGGCTGCAAGTGTCACAAAGTGCATATTTGCTCTTATCCACCCTTCCCTCTGGAACAGAAAGTCCAACATGGATCCAGTATGCTTGATCCGACAACAGAGGGAATTCTGCAATTTGGGGACCACCACCAAAAAGGCGCACTCTGCAGTTCCTGCCTTTAGCCTGACCTCAGTGGCAATGTGCAGGCTGTCTCTCTCCCTTGTCTCCCAGCTGTAAGACTTGTTAAAGCAGTGCAAGCCACAACAGTAATGGGCTTTTGAAGAGGTGCTCTTTGGACGCCTGGCAAGTTTCATATTGTGTCTTGTTTGTCTGCTTTACCAGGTCCTTGTAGCCCTGCTGTTTCCCTGGACACAGATTTTTCTGCATGCAGCTCAAACACCCTTCCTGAAGGACAAACATCAGGTAAAGCTGCCCCAAGTACTCAGACTGACAAGGAGCATCTGCTGTTGACTCATGGACGGTTAACTGCTTCTACGTTTTTTTGTGTTCTTAACTCCAAGGCTGGGACCAGTATTTGTTTGGGATGGAGTTAGTCTGCATAAAAGCTGACCTTCTGGGGGAAGGGTTGCCCTGTGTGTTTGTGTGTTTCACCCCAGCCCCCATCAGATCTTCCTGGAAGACTTTCTAAAAGAAGGATTGCAGATCCATTGTCTGTCATGGGTCCCTTTATTCTGAGCAGACCTCCAGAAAACAAACTGAGTGATTCCACTGCCTTATTTATTTATTGCATTTGTATCCTGCCCCATAGCCAGAAGGCTCTTTGGGCAGCTCACAGTGCACTCATAAACAGTAATACAGATAAAAATAGAAAATGCAGATACAAATGGATGACAGTAATAACTAAAACATAAAACAGAATAGAAATGCAATGTAAATACAACTGGGGATAATCACAGTGTAAACAATACTGTATAGCAATATAAATAATCAACCAGCAGCAAGATTTTCTTCCTACATAGAGAAGACCCATCAGATCAGAGAGCAGCATGGATCACCCTGGGATGCAGTGGGGGAAATACATTGGACGCTGCAACGGCCTACCATGGATGGGATACCTCCTTTTTTGATGCTCGTGCAATGAGGGAGACCAGTTGCTGTTGCTTGGCTTCCGAAGTGGTTTACCACTGCTGCCTTCTGGGCTTGTTTTAATTCCTATTCCCTCTTCCGGTAGGTAGCTGCAGCCCAGCTGTGTCTCTTGACGGCGATTTCTCTCCTTCCAACTCAGATGGTGTTTCCCAGAGGCTGATAGCCAAGAAACCTGGTAAGATTGCCTGAGGGATTCTGGCTTAACACAGTGGCAGCAGAGATGTTCAGTCTGTGGAGGCTGTGCCATTTCCACGCCTAGCATTATACCCACTTTCCTGCTTGTTCTCGCTGTGCTCCTGTAGAACTTTGTAGCTGCCCATTTGTGGCCTGGTAGATGCTGTCCAAAATCAGCTGCCCCTTTAGGAGTGAATTGGTGTCAAGAGTCTAGCCCTCAAGAGTTACCACTATCAGAAGTTGTCTGACATTTGCAGCCAGAGCATAACCATTTTCATGGCTAGGTTTCTTCCTGCCTATGCCCACTGTAGCTTTCCATCAGGCCTCTAATGATCTTGTCCACAGAGGTGGTGCACTCAGCACATGATGCGACTACGGTTAAAAAAGCAGAATGTTTTCTACATAGTCATTTCATTTTCCTTCCTTTGAGACCTGGCTGCTGCCCTGGTGCCAATCCTAGACGTTCTTGGAGGCCACCCCCTTGGTCTGAATGTGAAAGCTCTGCAGGAAAACCTGGAGAAGAAACACCAATTTGATTTGGAGACTTTGAGCCAAGATCTGGGCTATGAAGATGTTGTGTCGTGCTTACTGCACATGCCGGGCCTCAGATTTTCTTTCGTAAATGGCAAATGGCCCCACAACTGCATAGTCCAGCTTCTTTCAAATAGTCTCAGCACTACCTCTGAGTTGCCCAGTGCCGGTGCCTCTTCGGATGAACCTTTGTCTTCCAGTGGGTCAAACGTGTCCTCTCACAAGTTGACAAACCCCCCAATAGGTAAGATATATCTGTAGCCAGAAAGTCTAATACATTTACTTCTTTTACATGAAACTTCAGATTTCATGGGTGCTTGTCTCCTGAAGCATCTAGGAGCCATGTTCAGGTTCTACAACAGGGATAGGTAGAAAGTAAATCTCTTGATTATTTTATTATTTGAATGTCGAAACCCTGCTATTTTTTCTCATGCAAGGAGTGTACAAGGTTTTCTCCCCCTGCACTTGAACCTCACAACAAATACCCTGGAAAGCAGGTTAGGCTGAAAGTGTGTAACTGGTCGAAGGTCTGGCTGAGCCCAGCATTCCTCAGTATAAGCGATGCTGGCAGGCAACATTCATCTAGAATATGAATCTCAAGGTTTTTCTGTCACTGGTTGAAAGTGAGATCTAATAATGAAATCAAATACCTTCTGCAGTGTTTTAAAACTCTGTTCAGTGGAGGTTCCGTCACCCTTTAAGTGTGGGGAGGGCCTCTTCTGTTCTGGGTTCTTAATCGCATGGAATGGGATGGATCTAGCCTTTTTCATGTTCCCTTTTAATAACGGAAAATCTGGGTATTGTGGAAACTTGGTTGTTGCGGCTTATAACCAGCGTGGTTGCAGTTCTGCAAGACCCTACAGTTTGGTGTGCTTAACTTCTCTGCATTTCTACATTTCTCCTCTACTTGTCAGCTTTCCCAGCTTCCTGCAGCTCTGCATCATCCCAGGCCAGCACTTCATCCTCCTCAGTCTCAGGACAGTTAGCCAGCAAATCAAAAAAGCGGAAGCAAAACATTCTGGGAAAGAAACTTGGTAAGGCTGCATTTAACGCTGAAAGTCTTTGAGTAATGGGGCTAGTCAAAGAGGCAAACATGCCTTGGCACGTTTAAAAAACCTATTTGCAGTCCTCTGTCTACGTGGGAACTGGTGTTTGTGTAGAACCATCTTGCTGGTTTGATCCTGTGCATGTTCACTCACAGGGCAATCCCACTGCATCCATGGGGGCTTATTCTCCTGGAAGTTTGCATAGGACTGCAGCCCGTGGAAGAGTGGTGCTGAATGGGCCATCCTGTGTCTTTCCTTACCTCTTTTCCATGTAGGATAGCCAGTGAGCAGATCACTAGAAGAGTTAATGGATCAGATGAAAAGCCAATCTAGTCCAGCAACCTGCTTCTCAGTGGACAGCCACATGCCTTTGGGAAGCCCAAAAGCTGGACCTCATGAGGACACTCCCATTGCTGTTCCCCAGAAGTTGTTATCCAGAGGTCCTGCTTCATCCTGGAAGCTGCATAAAGCCATAATGACTCATAGCCACTGATAGCTTTATCCTCCCATGAATTGATTCAGTCCCCCTTTTAATGCCATCTGAGTTTATTGGTCATCACTACAGCTTATGGTTTTAATTCTGGGCCATTGTGTTTCCCTCCATTTGCTGCCGTATTCACAGGCTCTTTTTCTCACACACTTCTGCTTTTGCCACTAGAATTCAGGTAGCTTGACAGGCAGCTTGCGTGTTTGTATATCTTTAGAGAACAAATGTAAAATAGATGTATAAAATGATGCTTAGGTTTTACTGACAAACTCAAGGGCAGCTCCTAATAGGTTATATTCGTAAAACTTGGCAAATGCTAGTTCCAGGCTCCCACTTGTTTAGAAAAATCTGAAAACTGACAACCTTTCAATTTTGCCTAAAGAAGTGGAATCAAAATGTACCCCACCATGGTTTAACTTTTCCTACTCTAGCCAGGATGCTGTTTTGGTATATTTAGTCCAGGACATGCTGATGATTAGATCAGTGCATAAACTTGCCTTCAATTACTTTTCTGAATTTTATGTTTATCTCTTTTTCCCCCCTTCCGGCAGTGCTGTCAGAAGTCTTGGCTGTAGTCACCAGCCTTCTAACCACGTACAAGAGTGGCCTGCGGGTTAAAAAGTTGAAAGAGTTCTTGCTGGCTAAAGAAAGAATTGATCTGGAGCAGTTCAGCATTGCCCAAGGCCACAAAGACACACTGGAATTTTTGGAGCGTCAAATGCCTATGCTGAATATCAGATACCAAGAGAACAGACTGAACTGTGTCATTTTTCTTGGATCAGGTGAAATCTATGAAGAAGGATGACTAACTGTTTGATTTGGCCTTCCTATTGTCTAGGGCAGGCAACCAAACTGGGTAGAACTTTATTCCTGTGGTTGCTTATTGCGTCTCAGGTCTATAATACCTTTCATAACTGGAACCAGCTGGGAGACATAGCTCAATGTCTCTCAGCTTTAAGTCATTAGAATGCAAATTGGGCAGGTACTGAGAAAGTTCCTTCTGGGTTCATGTGTGGAAGGCATCCAACAGCCTGAAGTGAAGCTAAGTAGGGTCAGGCCTGGTTGAAATCTGAATGAGTGACTTACCAACCACAGAGCTTCAGCTACAGGCGGTATAGAAGTATAATGTACTACTACTACTAGATTAGCTCCTTCTAATGCTCAGAAAAAGCAGGGTCCATTCGCTAAACTACTAAATGTTATACCATTCCAGACTTCTCTCTGGCCCAGTTCTGTCTGTGGCTGAAGCTTTGAAAATAGAGAAGAAATAATTGTCTCAAAGTAGAATTATATCAGGAAGAGCATGGAGGAATAGAACACTTGTATAGAGGGAGGGATTGTATAGAAACAGAATGTGATCGAACAGCTTGGGAAATGTATGGCCGATGTAGTGGTGAACTTATGTGTGCAAAGAGGGTGTCATCTGGCTGCTTTCTGGGCACTAAGCCAGAATTTCCCTTCTTAGAAAGTATCAATGCCCTGCATTTGCAAAGCTTCCTTCTAGCACTATGTTTTGGACACATAAATTTTCTTCCTGTCAGCTTTCTTCACTGTTCATCTTTCACACCCATACATAATAACTGGGAATACAAAGGATGATCTTGACCTTGGTCTCCAGTGAAACAAAATGACATTTGATGATCTTTTCTAGTTCCTTCGTTACTGCCCTCAAGTTGGCATGAGGAAAGCAACTGATAGTGACATACACTAAAGCTGCTTTTCAGTAAGAGTAGGAATACTGAGTCTGATGCTGCCTTCTAAGGATGTATCTTCTCAGGAGTATGTTTGATATTGTTCTGGCTTATGCAGTTGTTACCTGGTTCTTGCATCTCCATAAACCACCCTGGAAATAAGCCATGGTGGGCCAGTTGTTCATTTGCTCAGCCACATTACTGCTGGCAGTGCATCAGCCATCTTGCCTGAAGGTGAAAAAGAGTATTGCTGACTTTGGAAGCAGGGATGTCAAGGTACTAATTGACTTGTGTCATCTCAAAACATAATAAGAGGGGATGTTGCCAGCAAGATCATGAACAGTGATGCAGTTTTTCCTGCCATTCTTGCCAAACGGCTGTGCAACAGTCCTGGCAAGCCATGCAAAAGTTACTCTTTTGGGTTCATGCATTATGACAAGCCACTTTGAAAACAGGCCACTCTGAAAAAGCCAACAACAAGCCATGGGTTTTCAGGGTGGCTTGTGAAGTAACATCACTTGGTTCAGAAGCAATAGCAAGCTGCACTGAAATGAGAGGAGCTGGATTGGGTTGTCAGGTTATGCAAACCAAGGCATTGTGTCTCTGTTCTTGTGACATCTTGACTGCTGAGAGCCAGTGTGGTGTAGTGGTTAAGAGC